GACCTCTAAAAATTTATAACGTATGACATGTTGAGTTTCCCGGGCAAATTTGTTATTATTTTGGTACTTGCCATACACTTTGTGCCGAACTATTTTCATGTGTTAAAAACAAATAAATCCTGGGGTGTATTCACGTGGTATTATAAAGCTGTCAATAATGCCAATACGACCTATAGACAAGCGCGTCGTCTGTGAACTTGGCGCCGAACAATAACATAATATGCATAACGGATGGCGTCGCTTACTATGAAAATTTCAACATAAGACATCAACATTGTTTTCACTGGCAATCGCCATTTGCAATTTCACGAAAAAATATTTTGGCTCAATTAAAAAAATAAAAAATCTTATCATTTCCTATTTGGCGAATGACTGATTTGGAGACGACAACGTGGTCTCCATTTTGTTTATTTTTTTAAATATGCAGCAATCCCTCATTATTTTGGTGTAAATAATGAAAACATATTTTACTGTCACTGATAACAGTGACGATGTTTTATTTAAAACACGTGACTGCATTTTGAAATAACTGCCAGTTAGTCAATTTATTCGTGTACATTGTTTGAATACGATAAACATAAAAATAATGTCCAATAAATAAGGATTTGAGTCACCAGTATCTTTTGCCGTCGCCTACGGTGCTCACTAAACCTATCTAACCCTATTTAAGTCTTCTCTCGAAATAAATTTCTGTAGCTTTCAAACAGACAACATGCAGACATTTTCACATTTGAAAAGAACGTCTAAAGAATCTCTGGTTTATTCCTCAGTCTTCATAACTTCTCTACGTAACCAGATGGTATGCTATCAAGGACAGGGGGGCAAAAAACACAAACACCACTAAGCACAAGGCAAATGCAAAAGAAGATGTAAATATTTGTGATGCTTAAAATTAAAATACATTCATAAATAAAATTTAGCTTGTTTTATTAACTTCCATACCGATACGGTTGTAAAAAAGTGATGGTAGTAACGGATGAGAATGATCAGTAATGTGAGAGTAAACACATTTTAGAAAATATGTTATTTTGTTCAAATTTTACTTAAATGTTAAATTTTGTAACATATTCTCCCTAAAGAGCAGACGCATAATGAGGCATAAGTGAGTTTCAAGGTAATCTGAACATATTTAAAAATTCGCTGGTCAACATACATTGTGACAGGCAACCTTTGCTGGTCGAACTCGAGCTTTGCTCATGTTATTAGAGGCCTTGTAACCTACAAATTCAAGAACCCACATGTAGCTTAATACCAAAAACGTATATAAAAATGGTTTTAAAAAGTTGATTGTAACGGGCCCCATCAGCAATTCTATAGGTTCAAAAACCAAACGGTTTGTTTGTTTGTTGAAATTGGCATAAAACTATTCGAGGGCTATCTGCGCTAGCCTTCCTTAACAGACTAAATGAAAAGCAAGTAGTCAACACCACCCATCGCCAACTCTTAGGCTACTCTTTTACTAACGAAAAGGGTGATTGACCGTGACTTTATAACGCCCCCACGCCTGAAAAGACGAGTATGTCCGGTGAAAAATCGAACAAAAAGTATAGGTTGAATACGATTACTATTCAGTGTTTTTATGCCACATCTAAACACAACGAGTAACATTTAAGGCAAGAACAACGAATATGGATGTGATACATGTGTTTACTTACATTTCAACACGCTGGAGAAAAGTATTAAGAAATAATAATAAAGTGCGGGTAACTGTGATTGTTTTCACAACAGCATCTTTCTTGTATAACTTTACGAAGAATGAACAAAGTTAAATTTATTAGCAGTGTTACGTCTCCGTTTGTTAATTAACTTTCCGTAACTTCGTTCCGACGAAACTTTAGCGACACAAGTCCTTACTTAATAAAACTGGTTTATTCTTTCTGAATATAACTTCACGATACACTTGATTTCAACATTCGCGCAAAAACAAACGCTATTACGAACGTTAACTTCAACAATACTTTCTCACTGCAGATCAATTACTCACTACCAACACACACATTGTTCCCGTCACGTTGTGACCATCTTATATATACCAGACTACCCTATATCTAGTAATCTTCCGACAATTCACGAAGGTACAAGATATTTCCAGAAAGCAGGGGGCGTGACACTAGTCACGTGACCTCGCTGACGCAACAGTGCCCCCTCCTTAATATTGTTCGTCCCGAACAATAACCACATACAATAAACCAATAACAATTAACAATAACTTAATTAAATGTACAGAATTACTAACACAAAATTACAATTCAACAAAGTCTCTTAATTTTACGGGACGTATCTTCTTCCGTACTGGTCTCCGTCTCGTTGGCCTCTGCTTCATGTGGGGTTCATCTGCTTCATCAGAAAATGTCCTATCGTCGGTAACAATCACATCAGTGGTAGTAACTTTATCAAGAGCTTCACTGTTTCCCTTCTCAAAACTGAGTAGAGTTTCTTTTTCGACGGTGGCTTCTTCATGTGGCACGTCTTCAGCAGCGTCATTTGATCTGTTGTCCACTTCATCCCAACTGAAATGTCCTGGACCGTGATAACGCCAAAGCCTGTTGGCATGCACCACTTTTGGTTTACCTTGCCGACTACATTTTACCCGGAAAGTCACGTCTGAGAGACGATCCTCTATGTCATATGGGCCTTCCCATGGAGAAGACAACCTAGGAGACCTCCCTTTGGTCTTCCTGGGATTATACAACCATACCTTGTCTCCAGGTACAAAGCTGACTTCAGTAGATCTCTTATCATAAGTTAACTTCATCGAATCAGCAGACGTTTCCAAGTTTGAATGCACTTGATGGTGAATATCATCCATCCTTTCCGATAACACTTTCACAAACTCTGACACATTTTCAGGCAACTCTTCATAAGGTGGGCATCCCTTACACTTGGGTCCCCGTTTAGCACAACATGTACTGCAGGTCCTGCACCATTCTTCCACATCTCGCCTCATACCTATCCAGTAAAATCTTTGTCGTAGATGACTCAATGTCTTCCTAATTCCGAGATGTCCTCCTGTTAAATTATCACTGGATTGACGCAGCACAACTTCCTGTAACTTCCACGGTATAACTGTTTGCCAAGTCGTCACTTTCCCATCGGTAGTTTCCCATCTCTGGAGAAGAATACCATCTGCAAGCTTTAACTGGTCCCATTGCACCCAATAGTGCTTTGTTACAGGGCTTAGACTAGACACCTTCTCCCAAGCAGGGCGCAAAACACTTGTTTTTAGGAAATCAATTATTGGCTTCAAATCTTGGTCTTTCTCCTGTTTTTCTTTGATATCTATATTTGGTTCCACTTCATCATCATCAACTCTTTCAGTCGGCTTGACTTCAGCTTGATGACACCAAATTAGTTCAACCTCTCTTTTAACAGTTACTGGAACTTTGCCTTTGTTGTTCCCAAACGTCATTTTATCAAAATCAATTACAAACTTCCTCGGTAATAGATAGTCCAATCCTAATATG